AAAAAATCTTAAAACGGAAGAGTGACGCACGGGTTAGGAACATATACACAAAATTTCAGCCTTCCAGCTTTCCTGGTTGCTGAGATGAAAGTGGACGACGAAATTCAGTCGCTTCTTAACATACATGCACAGCGATCTCATGACAATATGCATTTTTGCTGGCTGCAGCAGCGCTAGTATATTGGCAAGAGACTGTCTGTGTGTGTGTGTCTGTTTGTCCGCACTTCTTCTCACCCACTTCCACCTCGAGAACCAGAAAAGCTAGAAGACTGAAACTTCAGGAGTATGCGCCTACACCGTCTTAATATTATCATATATATGCGATCCTCTTAATATGCGATCCTCCTATTTTAATATTATCACCGGCGTACGCCTGGATCCTGCGTATGGACAAGTTTTTCGGAATGAGAACGACCTCGGGAATCAGACAAGATAGAGAGCCGAAACTCTGCAGAAATATTCTATGTGCCTGTGTGAGCTAAAGTTTGAAATTCAGCCCTCAGTTACAAGTGGTTCTCATATACGGGAACGTGGAAGTTTTGTCGAGAAAATCGCTAATTCGGCAACCGGAAAATTTAGAAGGCTGAAATTTTAAGGCAAATTCAGCCCCTCGCTACACTTGGTACTGAAGCACGTGCATGTGAAAATTTTGGCGGGCAGATTACTAACTCGGGAACCAGGAAAGCTAAAAAGCTGAAATTCTAGGGTAATGTTCCCTGTACAAGTACAACTTAAACATTTCAAATTCAGGTATGTGTGGCTCTCACTTAAAAGATTTGACGGGAAAATTGCACACTGAACAACTACGTTGTTTTCAAAAAATGACCGCTAAACGGGAATTGTTCATTTCTTTTTTCCAAAATTTGCTATGATTTACTCTAGTCAGCGCAAATGGTAGGCGTAGAGCAACGACCATTCATATCGTTAACGACTTGAGTACTTCAAGTCTGGTGCAAAAACATATGATCGCACCGGCAAGCGTGGTGTATCCCAGCTTTGGTTTAAATTGCATAATGACAATTTGTAAAATATGAAAAAATACCCGCAACGCAAACAGGTTCGTAGTAGTCCTTGCCCTGAATATGTCCCTGTTGATCAGCTCTCGAAAATGTGTCTTCGTCACTCACAATACAATTTTTCTCAGATGGACTAAATTCCACAGACCGACAAAATGTGTTTAAGGAGTCCAGACATTTCTGTAGGCAAAACGATTCTTGCGCTTCAACTGACTGTGTATGATCATAAAAATGTATTTCAAAATTGGTCGTCTTTACAAAAATCAGGTTACCACCTGCTTCACCGCATCGATTTTGACCTAAAAAATAAATCTATAACGCCGCCTTTTTAATTAAATTTCAGCGTTTTTTTCGCGTCCTCAAGGATGCGCGGCTGAAAACAACATTGTTGATGATATTAAGCCTGAACCTACAACGGATATTTTAAAATGATAAGCGCACTGCTGCTAATGCCATGCGTATGACTACTTTCCACTAAAATCAAGGAATGTAAGATTTCTTACTCCTCCTGGTCTAAATTTTTTCTTGGCTAATAAATCCGCATGTAAGCTGTGCCAATTTCATTTCACTAGGAATTTTAATGTATTTTATGCCGTAGTGCTCAGACGTGCAGATCAACTACATTCGGAATTCCTAGGGCTGTTCATATGGTACAAAAATGTCTTTTCTATGCTTTGTTGAGCTGCGCGCAAGAAATTGTTTTTTTTTTTTCAAAAATTCTTATTTATTGCATTAGCATGTTGCTGCGTTTGGAACTTTAACTTTCCACTATCATGAAACTTTCTAAAGCACGTAACTCATATGGCCTAAGCTAAATTCATCCATTTCTATATTTTCACCAACCACATTTAGCTTGTTTCTCACCTAGTAATAAAGTGAATACTGCCTGTATTTCAGCAAACAAATTACGATCTTCAAAAAATTTTTGCGCTTGCGTTTGTGCTGTGCATATAGATTTTTGTTGCTTAAGATTAAACCGATAGTTTATTGCCACTTTCATGAAATTACCAAGACTAGTATTTGCTTACGTGTTCTGAAATTTGTTAAAACAACCAGGCCGAATAGTGTAATCAGTTAACAAGTGATTTGTTCCTTTTTATATAATCACTAAAAGTTGAAATTTTTTAAACCAAACTGCAAGCTGCATCTTTGCTGTAAAAAATCTTATATTTTATTTATCAAATTAATTTGGGATGATAAGTTGCAAGCGACTTACGCGAAAGACAATTGTTATCATAGTAGTCGACGGGTGAATCGCTCTGTCGCAAATGATTCGGCTTGGAGCGTCGGTCTTCCGTTGACAGCTCGCATAAATAACTGTCATAATTGTAATTCACTGAACGACAAACAAATTCCTCCTCTTTAAGGCATGCTGACAGGCACTGCTCCCGAGAACCTACCTCAAACACGCTATCATTAAACTCAATGCACCTTCCTTAAAATATTCCAGAAAAATGAATAAATTCAAGCGATTTCTATTCACGCAGCCAGACTTGAATAATCAGTGTCAAAGAAACGTGATATCTGTGCTGCACTGAACAGTGTGCTTTACACTGAGCCTTTCTATTTCTGTCAAAACATTGCACTTTAAACTTACTGTCATATTTTGACAGTAAGTTTAAAGTGTAAGGTTTGAGTGCAAACAACTACAGATGTTAATTCAAAAAATTACGTTTTAAACCTCAACACTGACAGCGACCATAAGGGGTCGCAAAACGGCTCATCTTCATAGGGCTCTTTTCATTTCTCATGTTATGTAAGTTAAATACCTAATTATAAAGGAGCACAGTGTGTATGCATGTTTGTGTGTGTGTATGTGTGTGTGGTGTGTGTGTGTGTGTGTGTGTGTGCATACCTATCTGTTTGTTAGGAAAAATGTCTTCAGAAAATAGGACTGATAAGCTGCAGTTCTGGAAGTTTAACTTAGAACCATGTGCTGATAAACAAGTGTAAAATCAAATTTCACCTCCCTTTCCGTCGGACGATTTAGACATTTGCCTCGTTACAGTAGGCAGCTGGGTAACTTCATATCTGACGCCTTTTTCTACGGTAACCTTGGGGTATTTTGAGAGAAATTTGGAAGCTTAGTCTTGAATCATAAGGCTAGAAATGCAAAATCAGCTTTGAGAGCCTTTCGCGCACTGTCCGTACAATGGAACCTATGATTTTGCTTCCGCAGCTTCTCCACATATTACAGTCCCAGAATGTAACATAGTGCCTGATACATCTTTTCTTATAATCGCGTTTAATAAGGAAATTTTTCCTAATTTAAGATCTGGCAATGGAAGAAATGTACCACTACAACAATTCGCGAGAATTCGTGTAAAGCAACAGCTTGTTGAAGTCGAAAGGGTCTGTCTCAAATGCATCGAACCGTGGCTAATTTCGTTAGCAGTGAGTCATCAAACCGTGCAGGTACTAAGCTGAGCAAGAACTGTCGAAAATTTTCAGTTCGTATTAAGCACTCTATGGCGTATCTTTTTCTAAACCTTTTATTGTCCAACAAGAGAATTCTTCCGTTATCCGGCTGCCGCCAACTCACTCTTTGCAAACGCCAAAACAAATCACTCGTTATCGGCATTTTAACCTTATTCACGAGGTCTTTGCCAGTCAGACATCATCAAAACCAATAATACTAGCAACCAATCGATACCTGTACGGATTTGCGAACGAAGCCTTCCAGCGCGGTTTTTCGAGTCCTTTCGAACGAAAATGACCGGTACGTGCAAGCTTCGTGCGCACTAACACCCGGAAGACAAGTTTTTTCATAATAAAAGTTGTTCGCCGACGGATTTGGTGCCAAATCGGAAGTACCTGCTGGACTGGCAGCATCGTCAAAAAAGTAGCACGTTTCGCGACCGTCGAAGTTGAATGAAGCGCAAACCCTTTGGGCACCTGTGGTTGGCTCAATATTATTTCGGCAATATTGGGCGCAAGTGAGGTCATGTCCGGCTGTGGATACCACAACCGGTGTTCCGGCCAAACGAGCTCTCGCTATTCTAACGAATGCCGTTGTTTCATGGCTTCCACACTCGAATACGCCCCATACTAGTCGCGTCCAGTGTGCTAGCAGAGATACAAATATTTGCAATAGCATGAATAACTTCGAAAATTACAGATTCTAAAATTTTGAAAAGCATTAACATTAGTCAGTAATGTGTCACGCACAGGCAGATAGAGGGCGTGAAGGGTGAAAGGGGCACTGCCTCTCCTTTGTTTCCGGGCCACCAAAACTATCTGTACGCAGACGAAAAGCGCAGAAAACTGAGTTTGAGGCACAAAATACAGTTTTAGGAGAACATAAATTGAGTGGTTTGATTAGTGAAGCGCAAAGTTAGCTGACAAGGGACTAAATCAACGAAAATGAGAAAAATAAAAAAAAAAAATAATGGAACAATGAACTGTTTTAAAAAAGAGGCAGTGGATCCACAAAAGCTAAAAATATAATATTTAAGAAAATAGCACGAAGAAATAGACACAAATATTACTTTTGAAGATGCACTGTTTTGAGACACGGGGCACCCAAACTGCCCCTCGTCCCTTCCCCGCCCCTCCATCCCCACATTTCCTTACCCACCTACCCCGCTTCCATCCGTAGCCGTTTTGGACCTTACTTCTGTTAGAAGCTGGATACAGTTTCGAGCCAGTAGTGACTGGGTATTCACCATTAATGGAGAGAACTGAGACCAGCTGATTGGTACGCTAATCGCGTAGTAGTTGCTGTCGAAGGGAGACTGTACGCAGCAGTGCTGGTGGTAGTTGTGATCGTGGTGATGGCGCTCTCCTTCCCCTCTCCATTCCGGGGGTTATAGTTGTTTAGTCATGCCTCCTTGACCTCGTTCCTGTCTTCCTTACGGTCGTTCACCGGCCCAAATTTCTTCACACCCATTCATGCATACGTACTGATCATCAGTAAACACATGCCTAATCCAAAACCAATCACTGAAGACTGGCTTCCTGCGATTTTCAGATTGGTCGCGAATTGCTGGCTAAAAATTGGATTCGCATTGCGAACTGCTGGCTAAAAATTGCTGTGATTTTAAGCACCCCTTCATCTTGCCAGAATGCGCATTGTAATTGGCGACAAATAATGGCGAACACTGGGAAACCAGACGAACTGTATTCACGTTTCCTCACTGAACCATTCTGGAGAATCAGATGGTTTAAATGATCGCTAATTGATTAAGTGCACGAGAAACATCGGGATTTACTGTCTAGCACAGCGTGCATTCGAAATAAAAACGACCACGAGACAGCAAGCAGTGGGTTTTGAAAGCAGCACAGGCAGTATGCAATAACTGAAAAGTTCCGAAAATTTGAACTTCTGTATGAACTAAATTCTCAAAATTTTCATGCTACACTTTTCTAGCAATTCAGGTTATAACACCAGTTAAAATTCAGACTTGAGATTACAGATCGGGACAGAGGAAAAGCCGAACGTTGATTTTAGAATTGTGGCTACATACGTAGTAGTGGGTAGCGCTCTTAAAATCTCAGCTTCCTGGTTTTTGCGTGTTTCTGCATCTTTGCGCGAATCCAAACTATGCTGCGACGCATCAGTCTTGTTGGTGCGACCATGCGCTTTTGAGCTTCGCTTAAAACAGTCAAATAGTTAATAATATGAATAAGTGTTGCTTTACATTTAAATTGTGTACTCGTTACCGTAAATTGCCTTAAATCTTGCTCGGGACCCACGCCCCAGTGATAGCGCTTGGCTAGAGAACTCACCGACAGAATTTCAGCAACAAAGCTTGGTCAGTGCCAAATTGAAACACCCGAACAGATGTCCACATACACACCCACCTTCACATACACATGCACAAATACCATGGATCGCCACAGTATGCGTTTTTATGCGTTTTTGCATATATGCAAATTGCGAAAACCTATATTGGGAAGAGGCTGTGTGTGTGTGTGTTTCTGTGTGTTCGCAGTTTTGTCACCCACTTTCAACTCAAGAACCAGAAAAACTAGAAGGCTAAAACTTTGGAAGTATTTTCCCATGCCATGCGCGATCATCCCGTTTTAATATCATCTCTCGTGCACACTTGGGTGTCGCGCACGGACGCTTTAAAAAACTGTGCAAATTTTTTGGCGGGAATGCGATCTCGGGAACCAGACAAGATAAGGGGCTGAAATTTTGTAAGGATATTCCCTGTGCATGTGTTCGCTAAAGATTTTAAGTTCAGCCACTTGTCATGCATGGTACTCGTGTAAGGGCGTATGAAAGTTTTGGTGGGAAAATTGCTAACTCGGGAACCAGAAAAACTAGAAAGCTAAAATTTTGCGGGAATGTCCCCTGCCCAAGTACAACTTAAATTTTTCAAATCCAGCCCTCAGGTATGCGTGGTTGTTGCGTACGAGCACGTGAAAGATTTGTCAAGAGAGTTGTTAACTCGGCAACCAGAAAAGCTGCAGGGCTGAAATTTGGGGAAATGTTCCCTGTTCAAATACAACATAAGTTTTTCAAATTTAACCCCCAACTGTGCGTTGTACTCATGTAAGGGCATATGAAATTTTCTGCGGAAAATTATTACCTCTGGAACCAGAAAAGCTAGGAAGTTGAAATTTTAGGGGAATGTTCCCTGTCCAAGTACAATTTAAGTATTCCAAATTCAGCCTTCAGGTATGCGTGGCTCTTACGTGTAGGCATTTAAAAGCTTTGGCTGAAAAATTTCTCACTGAATAGCTAAGTTATTACTTTTAAACCCAGGCTGAAACGCACCGGGCGGGCCCGTGCGATTATGCGTTATTGCACAGGACTTGAAGTACTCAGGCCATTAACTGCATGAACGGTTGTTGCTTCACACCTACTTTTTGCGATCAGTTGCATAAATCACCTTAAATTTTGTATAAAGTAGATGTACAATTTCCATTTAACGATCGTTCTTTAAAAGTAACTAGTTGCTCAGCCAGATATTCAGTCAAAATTTTAAGTGCCCGTACATAAGAACCACGCGTATCTTAAGGCTGAATTGGAAATACTCAAGTTGTACTTGGAGAGGGAACATCCCCCCTAAAGTTTCAAGCTTCTGCCTTTTTTA